GCTATCCACTGAACCAAACCAGCCAGGGCTTTTCCATTGATTTTGAGAGAGAGAAAGAGAGAGAGAGAGAGAGAGAGAGAGAGAGAGAGAGAGAACATGAACATGAGAGAGACACATCGATCGGTTGCCTCCCACACACTCCCCGACCAGGGCTGGGGATCGAACCTACAGCCCAGGTATGTGCTCTTGCCCGGGAATAGAACCCTTGGTCCCGAGGTGCTTGGGGCTGGCGCCCTAACCACTGTGCAGCACCGGCCAGGGCTCGTTGGGGGTTTGATCTGCATGCCTCCAGGGAATGCCAGGGTGTCTATGGGGAGACTGGCCCGCGGACAGTGCCTGGTGGCAGGAGATAAGTGAGGCTCCTTGGAGCTTGTGTGCAAGTCATTCCCCGGGGGCACAGCTCCCGTCTGATAAGTCTCAATTAGGAAAGGTCGGGTGGGCGGGGGCAGGGCACTTCTCCCTCATCACGTCCGTCCATCCGTCCGGTGTCCCTGCGCCAGCCCCTCACGGCTTCCCTCTGGGCTGCGGAGTCGGGATGGGCACAGGAGCCATGTTCCCATCTCAGTCTGCCCTCTTCTGTCTCGGTGAGTCCGGAGGGTGGACCTGGGACACGCTGAGGGGTGGGCAGTGGGTACCAGGCAGGTAACTGTTTGAAAGCGGCACTCGTGATGGATTTCAGAGCCAGAGGCGAGCTGTGAGGCCCGGCGTTGGGTGGGTGGGATGCAGGGGGAGGGGGTGATGTGTCTGAGTTTTCCTAGTCTATTCACGGTCCGGGCAGGACATGAACAGAACATGCTTAGTGTCGGCTTAAACGTTCTCCCACTACAACATCTTTAAAAAAAAAAAATCCAGCCCTAGCTGGTGTGGCTCAGTAGATAGAGCATTGGCCTGCAGACTGAAGGGTCCTGGGTTCGATTCCAGTCAAGGGCACATGCCTGGGTGGCTCGATCCCCAGTGGGGGACATGCAGGTTGCAGCCGATCCATGATTCTCTCTCATCATTGATGTTTCTATCCCTCTCTCCATCTCCCTTCCTCTCTGAAATCAATAAAAATGTATATATATAAAAAAAATCCTCACATACCTGGGTTGCAGGTTTGATCCCCGACCCTGGTCTGGACATGTATCCCCCTTCCTCTCTGAAATAAAAAAAAAATATATATTTTTTAAAAAAAGCAATGGTAAAATATCATTGGGTGAGGATTAACAACAACAATAAAGGAATCCTGTCCATAACACTCCCCTCCCCTCCCTCCCCCAGCCACTGGTGACCATGACTCTACTTCCTGTCACTGGACAGATGGCCGCTTCCTATACATGGAACGTAGGGCCTTCCTCTCTGAAATAAAAAAAAAATATATATTTTTTAAAAAAAGCAATGGTAAAATATCATTGGGTGAGGATTAACAACAACAATAAAGGAATCCTGTCCATAACACTCCCCTCCCCTCCCTCCCCCAGCCACTGGTGACCATGACTCTACTTCCTGTCACTGGACAGATGGCCGCTTCCTATACATGGAACGTAGGGGCCTGTCATGTTAGCTCCTTTCGCTTCAGTTAGGGGCCTGTGTATCTCCCAAAACAATGCCGACGAGAGGCCCAGAAGGCACGCCGATGCCTCATCCTGGCGTCCAGCCCCCGGGAAGTGTGGGTCCCCGGACGCCCTAGCCCTGGGTCCTTTCCTTCTGTCCCCAGGGCTGTGTCTGCGGCAGGTGATACAGGCTCAGGACGGTGAGTGGGGACCCCTCCTCTGGACCCAGCTGGCGAGGTGAGCGGGCAGGGCGGGAGGGCCCGGGGCCCGGCTGACCCCCACGGCCTTCTGCTTGCTTCCCTCCCAGGGCCACTGCCCAAGCCCACCCTCCGGGCGCTGCCCAGCCCCCTGGTGCCCCTGGACAAGCGGGTGACCATCCGCTGCCAGGGTCCCCCCGGCGTGGACTTGTACCGCCTGGAGAAGCTGAGGTCCGGGAAGTACATGAACGTGGCCTCCCTCGACATCCCGGCCATGCAGTATACCTCTGCCGGGCCGTACCGCTGCTCCTACCAGAACGGCAGTCGCTGGTCCCTGCCCAGCGAGCAGCTGGAGCTGGTGGCCACCGGTAACCGGGTGGACGGACGGACAGGACGGGGCGGAAGGGCCGACGGTGCTCAGTTCTTGGGCTCGGAGGGGGTGAATGGGGGAAGATGATTATGGTAAACTCAGTGTCTCCAGGGGCTGGGACTAGGGTTGGGCAGTGAGGCACTGGGCTTATGTGCTAAATTTTGGGGAGGTGCCCCCCAATTCAGCTCTCAAGGTAAATATGTTAGTGGAGTAGCTGCTTACAAAGACCAGGGTGAAGCTTGGCCGGTGTGGCTCAGTGGTTGAGCATCGACTTATGAACAAGGAGGTCACAGTTCGATTCCCAGTCAAGGGCACATGCCCAGGTTGTGGGCTCAATCCCCAGTGTGGGGCGTGCAGGAGGCAGCCCATCCATGATTCTCTCTCATCATTGATGTTTCTCTCTCTCTCCCTCTCCCTTCTTCTCTGAAATCATAATAATGGAAAAATCAGTGAAGCTCAACCCATGTGGCCCAGTTGGTTGAGCGTTGTCCGGTGCACATACCTAGGTTTCAGTTCCCAGGCTGGGCACATGCCTGGGTTGTGGACTTGATCCCCAGTCGGAGGACCATCGATGTTTCTCTCCCTTCCTCTCTCTTCTCTCTCTCTCTCTCTCTCTCTCTCTCTCTCCCTATCTCTATCTCTATCTCTATCTATCACCTATCTATCTATCTATCTATCTATCTATCTATCTATCTCTTCCTCCCTCCAGTGAAGATTTAAAAAAAAAACCAGTGACCTAAGCCAGTCAGAGAAAGACAAGTACCAGATGATTTCACTCATAAATGGAATCTAATGAACAAAATGAACTAACAAGCAAAATAGAGACAGATTCCTAGAGAGAGAGCAGCTGGTGTGTGTGTGCCTGTGTGTGAAGGGAATGAGCAAAAAAAGAAAAAGAAAGAGAAAAATGCGTGGACACGGACCACAGTGTGGTGACTGCCAGGGGGAGGGGAGGGGAGGGGAGGTGGAGGTGGGCACAGGGGGATACATGGTGATGGAAGGAGATGTGACTTGGGGTGGTGAACACACCACGCCGCGTGCAGGTGATGAGTTGTGCGGAACTGTGCACCTGAAACCTGTATAATTTTGTTAACCAGTGTCACCCCAATAACCAGTGTCACCCCAATAACCAGCGTCACCCCAATGCATTCAATAAGAACAAACACAAAAGAAACAGTTGCCCGTTGGGCAAAGGTGTAGCTACAGTGACGTTCACTAGGATTTGTTTATGAGGTTTAAGTTTCTTTCGTTTTTGCTTTTTGTTAATCCTTACCCAAGGATCTTTTTCCCACTGATTTTTAGGGAGAGTAGGAGGGAGGGAGGGAAAGAAGAGGCGGGGAGAGGTGAGAGAGAGAAGAAAGAGAGAGAGAGAGAGGAGAGAGACAGAGAGTAGGAGGGAGGGAGGGAAAGAAGAGGCGGGGAGAGGTGAGAGAGAGAAGAAAGAGAGAGAGAGAGAGACATGAGAGAGACACATTGACTGGTTACCTCTCGCATGCGCCCCGACCAGGGCCGGGGGATCCAGCCTACAACTGAAGTATGTGCCCTTGACTGGACTCAAACCTGGGACCCTTCAGTCTGAGGGCTGACTCTATCCCCTGAGCCAAACTGGCCAGGGCTATGATGTTTCACTTTGCACATTTAAAAAAATATATATATTTTATTGATTTTTTACAGAGAGGAAGGGAGAGGGATAGAGAGTTAGACACATTGATCAGCTGCCTCCTGCACACTCCCCACTGGGAATGTGCCCGCAACCACGGTACATGCCCTTCGCCGGAATCGAACCTGGGACCCTTGAGTCCGCAGGCCGACGCTCTATCCACTGAGCCCAACCAGTTAGGGCAACTTTGCACATTTTTAAATTTTACAGAGAGGAGGGGAAAGGGAGAGAGAGATAGAAACATGGATGGGCTAACTCCTGCTCACCCACTACTGGCGATCAAGCTGACAATGCGGGCGTGTGCCCTGACTGGGAACCAAACCAGTGGCCGCTCTGCAGGGGACGATGTTCGGCCAACTGAGCCACACCTCGGCCGGGCAGCGGCTGCTGTCTTTGATCCCAGAGTTCTCTTGTTCACAGGAGTGTATGAGAAGCCCACGCTCTCGGCCCAGCCCGGCCCTTCGGTGTCCCTCGGAGAGGACGTGACGCTCCAGTGCCAGAGCAAATACGGTTTTGACCAATACGCTCTATACAAGAAGGTGGACACTGGGCCTTACAAGGGCCCTGAGCGGTGGGAGCGGGCCAACTTGCCCATCACCACGGTCACGGCCGCCCACAGCGGGACCTACCAGTGCTACAGCTTCTCCAGCAGCAACCCGTACCTGTGGTCCGCCCCCAGCGACCCCCTGGAGCTTGTGGTCACGGGTAAGGGGGTGCAGGCCAGATCTTCCTTCCTCTGCCTTCCCAGACCCTGATGCAAGCTCCCAGGGGAGGGACCCAGAGGCGCAAAGGGTGGACTTTATGCCAACATCAGAGCTTCTCTCCCAGGAGTCTTTTATGTTTAAAATATATTTTTATTGTTTTCAGAGAGGAAGGGAGAGGGAGAGAGAAACATCAATGAGAGAGAATTATGGATCGGCTGCCTCCTGCAGGCCCCATACTGAGGATCGAGCTGGGAACCCGGGCATGTGCTCTTGACGGGGAATGGAACCGTGACCTCCAGGTTCATAGGTCGACGCTCAACACTGAGCAACACCGGCCGGGCTCCTTATTATTTTACTAGAGGCCCGGTGCATGGATTCATGCACCAGTGGGGTCCCTCAGCCTGGCCTACACCCTCTCGCAATCCAGGACCCCTCAGGGGATGTCGGACTGCCGGTTTCGGCCCGATCCCCTGGCCTGGCTCCCAGGGGAGGGACCCAGAGGCGCAAAGGGTGGACTTTATGCCAACATCAGAGCTTCTCTCCCAGGAGTCTTTTATGTTTAAAATATATTTTTATTGTTTTCAGAGAGGAAGAGAGAGGAAGAGAGAAAGAGCGAAACATCAATGAGAGAGAATCATGAATCGGCTGCCTCCTGCAGGCCCCATACTGAGGATCAAGCTGGGAACCCGGGCATGTGCTCTTGACAGGGAATGGAACCGTGACCTCCAGGTTCATAGGTCGACGCTCAACACTGAGCAACACCGGCCGGGCTCCTTATTATTTTACTAGAGGCCCGGTGCATGGATTCATGCACCAGTGGGGTCCCTCAGCCTGGCCTACACCCTCTCGCAATCCAGGACCCCTCAGGGGATGTCGGACTGCCGGTTTCGGCCCGATACCCTAGCCTGCGGCAGTCTGACATTCCCTGAGGGATGTAGTAGTGTGCAAAGCGGCAGACGGCCAGGGAGGAGCCCAAGGCCTGGCCAGGTGCCCGCAGCTCAGCTCATCCTGGCCCACTGTGCCTGCTGCTGCTGCTCGCAGCTGTGCTCGCCAGCCATGAGCCCGGTGTCTGGTACCCCAAAGTCAGCTGAGCGGCGGTCCCGCTGTGGGAGTGCACTGACCACCAGGGGGCAGCTCCTCATTGAGCGTCTGCCCCCTGGTGGTCAGTGCGCGTCATAGTGACTGGTCAACCGGTCATTTGGTCATTTAGGCTTTTATATATATAGATTGTTGACCGTATTAGAAGTGTCCCCCCTTTGCTCCCTTCCTCCCAGCCCTGGCTTTTCCCTTAGGTCTTCCCCACACTATTATCTACGTCCCTGGGGGTACATATATGTACAGATGCATATAATCTCTTCCAATCTCCCCTCCTCCCTCCCAGATCTGTCAGTCTGTTCCATGCACCCACGCCTCTGGACCCATTTTGTTCATCAGTTTATTATTTTGTTCATTAGATTCTATACATGAGTGAGATCGTATGGCACTTGCCTTTCTCTGACGGGCTTGTTTCACTGAGCACAATGCTCTCCAGGTTAGGGGGGCCTTGGAAATGCTACTTAACACCCAGCGGTGTAAGATTTGTGTTTATTTTCCAGGCCAGGAATCTGGGTGGCAGAAGTGTTTTTGCTTAGAAAACACAGCTAACAGGCCACAAAATTCCCTCTTTTTCTGATTTCTCAGGGACCTCTGGGACACCGAGCCAGTTACCCACAGAAGCACCTTCCTCTACAACACGTAAGTCCTGAGGGGTTCACCCTGGTGTCTGGGGTCCAAGGCACGTGGACCCCTTCTTTTACATCCTCAACTGAGGCTATGTCTATTGATTTTTAC